GACCTGTTTGCAGGGGAAACACTGTGACCTGTTTGCAGGGAAACACTGTGACCTGTTTGCAGGAGGAAACAGTGTGACCTGTTTGCAAGGGAAACAGTGTGACCTGTTTGTAGGGGAAACACTGTGACCTGTTTGCAAGGGAAACAGTGTGACCTGTTTGCAGGGGAAACAGTGTGACCTGTTTGCAGGGGAAACACTGTGACCTGTTTGCAGGAGAAACACTGTGACCTGTTTGCAGGAGAAACACTGTGACCTGTTTGCAGGGGAAACACTGTGACCTGTTTGCAGGGGAAAGAGTGTGACCTGTTTGCAGGGGAAGAGTGTGACCTGTTTGCAGGGGAAACAGTGTGACCTGTTTGCAGGGGAAACACTGTGACCTGTTTGCAGGAGGAAACACTGTGACCTGTTTGCAGGGGAAACACTGTGACCTGTTTGCAGGGGAAACACTGTGACCTGTTTGCAGGGGAAATACTGTGACCTGTTTGCAGGGGAAACACTGTGACCTGTTTGCAGGGAAACACTGTGACCTGTTTGCAGGGAAACACTGTGACCTGTTTGCAGGAGGAAACAGTGTGACCTGTTTGCAGGAGGAAACACTGTGACCTGTTTGCAGGGGAAACACTGTGACCTGTTTGCAGGGGAAACACTGTGACCTGTCTGCAGGGGAAACACTGTGACCTGTCTGCAGGGGAAACACTGTGACCTGTCTGCAGGGGAAACAGTGTGACCTGTCTGCAGGGGAAACACTGTGACCTGTCTGCAGGGGAAACAGTGTGACCTGTCTGCAGGGGAAACAGTGTGACCTGTTTGCAGGGGAAACAGTGTGACCTGTTTGCAGGGGAAACACTGTGACCTGTTTGCAGGGGAAACACTGTGACCTGTTTGCAGGGGAAAGAGTGTGACCTGTTTGCAGGAGGAAACAGTGTGACCTGTTTGCAGGGGAAACACTGTGACCTGTTTGCAGGAGGAAACAGTGTGACCTGTTTGCAGGAGGAAACACTGTGACCTGTTTGCAGGGGAAACACTGTGACCTGTGTGCAGGGGAAACACTGTGACCTGTTTGCAGGGGAAACAGTGTGACCTGTTTGCAGGGAAACACTGTGACCTGTTTGCAGGGAAACACTGTGACCTGTTTGCAGGGGAAACACTGTGACCTGTTTGCAGGGAAACACTGTGACCTGTCTGCAGGGGAAACAGTGTGACCTGTCTGCAGGGGAAACACTGTGACCTGTTTGCAGGGGAAACACTGTGACCTGTTTGCAGGAGGAAACACTGTGACCTGTTTGCAGGAGGAAACACTGTGACCTGTTTGCAGGAGGAAACAGTGTGACCTGTTTGCAGGAGGAAACACTGTGACCTGTTTGCAGGGGAAACACTGTGACCTGTTTGCAGGGGAAACACTGTGACCTGTTTGCAGGGAAACACTGTGACCTGTCTGCAGGGGAAACAGTGTGACCTGTCTGCAGGGGAAACACTGTGACCTGTTTGCAGGGGAAACAGTGTGACCTGTCTGCAGGGGAAACACTGTGACCTGTCTGCAGGGGAAACAGTGTGACCTGTTTGCAGGGGAAACACTGTGACCTGTCTGCAGGGGAAACACTGTGACCTGTTTGCAGGAGGAAACACTGTGACCTGTTTGCAGGAGAAAACACTGTGACCTGTTTGCAGGAGGAAACACTGTGACCTGTTTGCAGGGAAACACTGTGACCTGTTTGCAGGGGAAACACTGTGACCTGTTTGCAGGAGGAAACACTGTGACCTGTTTGCAGGAGGAAACACTGTGACCTGTTTGCAGGGAAACACTGTGACCTGTTTGCAGGGAAACACTGTGACCTGTTTGCAGGAGGAAACACTGTGACCTGTTTGCAGGAGGAAACACTGTGACCTGTTTGCAGGGAAACAGTGTGACCTGTTTGCAGGGAAACACTGTGACCTGTTTGCAGGAGGAAACACTGTGACCTGTTTGCAGGAGGAAACACTGTGACCTGTTTGCAGGAGGAAACACTGTGACCTGTTTGCAGGGGAAACACTGTGACCTGTTTGCAGGGAAACACTGTGACCTGTTTGCAGGAGGAAACAGTGTGACCTGTTTGCAAGGGAAACAGTGTGACCTGTTTGCAGGGGAAACAGTGTGACCTGTCTGCAGGGGAAACAGTGTGACCTGTTTGCAGGGGAAACAGTGTGAGCTGTTTGCAGGGGAAACAGTGTGACCTGTCTGCAGGGGAAACACTGTGACCTGTTTGCAGGGGAAACACTGTGACCTGTTTGCAGGAGGAAACACTGTGACCTGTTTGCAGGAGAAAACACTGTGACCTGTTTGCAGGAGGAAACACTGTGACCTGTTTGCAGGGGAAACACTGTGACCTGTTTGCAGGGGAAAGAGTGTGACCTGTTTGCAGGAGGAAACAGTGTGACCTGTTTGCAGGGGAAACACTGTGACCTGTTTGCAGGAGGAAACAGTGTGACCTGTTTGCAGGAGGAAAAACTGTGACCTGTTTGCAGGAGGAAACACTGTGACCTGTTTGCAGGAGGAAACAGTGTGACCTGTTTGCAGGAGGAAACACTGTGACCTGTTTGCAGGGGAAACACTGTGACCTGTTTGCAGGGGAAACACTGTGACCTGTTTGCAGGGGAAACACTGTGACCTGTCTGCAGGGGAAACAGTGTGACCTGTTTGCAGGGGAAACACTGTGACCTGTCTGCAGGGGAAACAGTGTGACCTGTCTGCAGGGGAAACACTGTGACCTGTCTGCAGGGGAAACAGTGTGACCTGTTTGCAGGGGAAACACTGTGACCTGTCTGCAGGGGAAACACTGTGACCTGTTTTGATGAGGAAACACTGTGACCTGTTTGCAGGAGGAAACACTGTGACCTGTTTGCAGGAGGAAACACTGGACCTGTTTGCAGGGGAAACACTGTGACCTGTTTGCAGGGGAAACACTGTGACCTGTTTGCAGGGGAAATACTGTGACCTGTTTGCAGGGGAAACACTGTGACCTGTTTTGCAGGGAAACACTGTGACCTGTTTGCAGGGAAACACTGTGACCTGTTTGCAGGAGGAAACAGTGTGACCTGTTTGCAGGAGGAAACACTGTGACCTGTTTGCAGGGGAAACACTGTGACCTGTTTGCAGGGGAAACACTGTGACCTGTTTGCATGGGAAACACTGTGACCTGTCTGCAGGGGAAACACTGTGACCTGTCTGCAGGGGAAACAGTGTGACCTGTCTGCAGGGGAAACACTGTGACCTGTCTGCAGGGGAAACAGTGTGACCTGTATGCAGGGGAAACAGTGTGACCTGTTTGCAGGGGAAACAGTGTGACCTGTCTGCAGGGGAAACACTGTGACCTGTTTGCAGGAGGAAACACTGTGACCTGTTTGCAGGAGGAACACTGTGACCTGTTTGCAGGGAAACACTGTGACCTGTTTGCAGGGGAAACACTGTGACCTGTTTGCAGGAGGAAACACTGTGACCTGTTTGCAGGAGGAAAACACTGTGACCTGTTTGCAGGAGGAAACACTGTGACCTGTTTGCAGGGAAACACTGTGACCTGTTTGCAGGGAAACACTGTGACCTGTTTGCCGGGAAACACTGTGACCTGTTTGCAGGAGGAAACACTGTGACCTGTTTGCAGGAGGAAACACTGTCACCTGTTTGCAGGGAAACACTGTGACCTGTTTGCAGGAGGAAACAGTGTGACCTGTTTGCAAGGGAAACAGTGTGACCTGTTTGCAGGGGGAAACAGTGTGACCTGTTTGTAGGGGAAACACTGTGACCTGTTTGCAAGGGAAACAGTGTGACCTGTTTGCAGGGGGAAACAGTGTGACCTGTTTGCAGGGGAAACACTGTGACCTGTTTGCAGAGGAAACACTGTGACCTGTTTGCAGGGGAAACAGTGTGACCTGTTTGCAGAGGGAACACTGTGACCTGTTTGCCGGGGGAAACACTGTGACCTGTTTGCAGAGGAAACACTGTGACCTGTTTGCAGGAGGAAACAGTGTGACCTGTTTGCAGGAGGAGGGAAGGGTGGGCGGGGCTATGATGGGAGGTGTGTGCACCTGGAGGCTGTAGGTCCAAGGCAGCCTCTGCCCCAGGGCACTTTCTGGGAGGAGACTGGCTGCCTGCATCAGAGGTGAGCTGCGCCTGGACAGGAGCAGAGACGAGGTCAGGGAGCAGAAGTCTCCTCCTGCCCTTGGGCCCATGTACCCCGTTGGTACCATTTCAAGTTTCTATCTGAGTAGTTGAGAATTCCTGTCTTAATTTTTAAAAATCTTAAAGAACATGAAGCTCATTGCTGTAGATCCCTGAGCACAGCCCTGCCTGTGGCTGCACTCAGCTCCGTGCACTCCGTGCTGGGTGTGGCTCTGCAGGTGGCGCCTGGCTGCACGGTGCCCATGTGTGCACCCAGGATGACAGAGCAGGGAAGGGAACAGCCTGGACCCCCCCCCCCCCCAGCATGGTGTCTGCAGGGCCAGCAGGATCCTCAGTTCCTCCTCACAACCTCCCAGCCTGGTTCCTGTGAAGCCAGGACATAAAGCCAGGGATGCACTGACCTCTGGCCTCCTGCAATGAGCCCACTTGGCCACTTGATTCAACAGAACAGGCCTCTTCGTCCAAGGCCATCTGACTGCATATAGTTCCTCTTGCACGAAGCAAATAAAAACGAAGGGTCGACGGCTCTTCTAGAAACTTCCTGCTCTATCTTTGGTTCAGGCATTCAAGGCGAGGCTCTGTGCCCAAGAGCAGCCTTGATCCCCGGGGGCCCATGAGTAACTGCGTCTGCAGAGACTCGTGTTTCTTACTGCGGCCCCTGGCCCGAGCCCTGGACACCGCTCCCCAGCGTGGCTGTGCTGGAACGCTGGCGCTTTTCCAGGAGCCTGTCTCCTTCCTTCCCACCTCGGGGTCCTCAGCACAGGGGGGAACTGAGGCGCTATGTGCTCTTATACCTGTCGTGCTGAGCCCTCTGCAACCGCCAGGAAGGCCCGGCCGGGGCACTCACCTGCGGTGTGTGAGGAAGCTGCCGCTGACATGCCCGGAGCCATCGCAGCCGGGCGTGGGACAGGACATGCCCTCCGTCTTGACTGACTTCCAGGAGAACTGGGAGCCATTGAGGTACCCGTCCTTTTGCCTCTTGGCCGCCAGGGGGCAGCCCGAGGCACTGCGGTGGGAGGCGTACTTCCCGGTGATGTGGCCCTGGCCGTCGCAACCGGGAACGGGGCACCTGAGAGCAGACAGAGGAGACACGCGTTCCTGCCTGGCCGCACACAGCTGGTGGCTCTGCAGCAACTCAGAATCACCTGACTCCACTCGTCTCTCAGGCCAGACACAGATGGGAAACGGGAGTGGACGACCCCACCTCGCGGGGTGAGGGCGCGTTTCACCCTCGCGGACACCCGCCCAGGGCCCGCGTCTGCCCATGAGACTCCACCGTTGGGCAGAACCACGGCTTTGATGGAGGAAATATGTCAAGTCAGTGGGAAGCTGCAGGGTGTTTTTCAAAATGGCTATTTCATAGACTCGTGTTCTCTCAGGAGCTGGGGCACGTCTGTTTGTCTGGCCATGTTCTCCGGAAGCGGGAGAGAGGGTTTAACTGAGGCCCTTGGGACAGGGTAAGCACAGAGCACGCCACGCGGACATCTGGGGAATCCGTGGAAAGCGATGGGCTGGTGTGACAGCTCCGAGCGGCCATGGTGCTTCTGGAACTTCTCACAAGGCGACAGCAAAGGGCCGCGCACACAGCCAGGCTGCAGACACCTGGGGCGAGCTCACGGCTCCTCACAGGCCCCAGGCTGTGGGTTTGGCCTGCATTTTTTCTTAAAACAGTAAAGTTTTAATGCTATATAATTTGCATTGCCTATTTATTTTGATACATTTTAATAATTTTTATTTTAATTAATTTTTAATAACAATTTTTGCAAAGACACTGAGGTTAAAATCTCACAGAGACAGTACCAGGTTTATCATATGGATTTTTGAGACCCAGGCTCACTGGGCGCCGGTTCTGGGCAAAGGCCTGGGTGAGTGGGAGGGCGGACGCTCTCTCCGGCCCCACATGCCAGGAGCCTCGGTCCTGCTGAGAGTGGATGTAGCTACATGATTCCACGAGCCAGATGCCAGCACAGTGCTCACCCTGATCCTGCGTTCAATACCTTCCTCTACTTCCATGAACCTGCCTTTCCCGCGAACAGACTGTGTTTTGCCCCAGGGAAGAGGGACGCTTTGCAGCTTAGTTACTCAGAACATCAAACTGATGGGTATTCACCTGTCACATCAACTACAGCTTAGACATCCGATTTGGTTTGGGTTTAAATGATCTGACCTTGCAGGTGATTGACATCCCAAAGCGTGTCCTCCCCCCGACTCTCACCTGCTCCCCACACGTGCCCTGTGGCCCCGCCCCTCCCGCAGCACACCTGATGGGCTCCTGGTCTTCCTTGTCCTCCTTGCTCTGCGCTATCCGGATGCCGCTCTTCTTGGCTCGCGGGCACCCTGAAAGGCTGAGGAGAAGCACGAAGTCAGCATGCCCCCCCTCCAGCCTCGGCTCCTTGACTGCATTCTCTCCAGAGCCCCGCTTCCCGCACGAAAACAAAATCTGGGTCCTCCGGGCGCAGCCCCTCTGTGCTCTCCAAGCCTCCCTCCTGCAGGGGTGGCGGCCGGCACTGCCCTCACTGAATGGCACCGGCCCTGAATGCAGCGCGGGGCCTGTTCTCACGGGCGGGCGGCATTTTAGCGCTCAGGCGGTGGCTCTGTCCAGATGACTCGCTTCTTGCTGATTTCCATGCTGATGGAAACTAGAGAACTTTCCTACCACCAACTGAGCGCCGGAACCCCCAGAAAAGCAAAACTAAGCATTGATCAACATTTAAAGACTCCTGTATTTTTGCTTAAAACGTGGAAATGAAAACCCGCTGCTCACTGCCCACCCAGCATGGAGCGCCCTGCAGAACCAGCAGCTGGAGACCATCTGCTCAGTGGGCAGTGGCTCGGAGAGGACGCTGGGAGGGGCGCCCAGGACAGGCCCTTCTCTCCCGCGCGTCTCAGCTTCCTCGCCTGCACCCCAGAGCAAGCAGGCCCCGTGTCAGCTGGAGCAAAAGGAGTCGAGGCGGCCCTCCAGGTGTGGGCAGAGACAGTGCCCAGGGGCCTCAGGCCTTCTCCCCGTGTGGGTCTGTGTGTGTGATTCCTTCTTTAGGGCCCAAAGTTAAACCCAGCAAAGTCACTCTGGTTTGAGTGAGGTGGGAATTCATGCCTCCGCACCTCAGCCACGGGGGCCGCGGGAGCCGAGGGAGCTGTGGGCGCTGTGTGCTGGGAGGGGCAGCCCTGCTTCTGGGCAGCCGTGGGCTCCAGTGCCCCGCAGGCTCCCGAGGGGCAGCTCTCCGATGGGGCTGCCGGTCCTTCCCGAACACGTGATTCTCTTTCGTCAGGGCGTCCACATGGACGTGAAGGGGACTCTGCCGCTCACCCCTCTCCCTCCTCTGCGGACCTGCAGGGCCCACAGGGGACCCTCGAGCAGGGACTTGAGCAGAATTAACCCGTCCTGTTAGGGGGCTTCTGTCCCCCCGGGACTGAGGCCGAGGCCCTTCCTGCCTCCCGTCCAGCTGCCCCAGAGCCTCCCGCAGGCGTGCCCGCCCCTCACTGGCCGGCACCGGCTCTGTCCTCTGGCTGTTGCCCTTCACTCCGATGTGTGCTGTGGGAGGCTGGCCTAGCGCCGTGGGAGCGGACATTTCAGTCCGTCGCTCACCCACCTTCTCTGTGCGGAAAGCCCGCCCGGCCTCCCAGACTTGGCCTACGTGTCCTGGAGGCCGAGCTCCCCACCACGTGTTTAGCAGGACTCACACCCCGTTTCCCTGCAGCTCCCCCATGTGCTTGTACCCGCGGCACCACCACCTGTCCCTCCTGGTCCTCAGAGCGCGTTGATTCGGGTGTTGCTGCTGCAGCAACTCGTCTGCTTGACTTTGTACATTTAACTGGAGTTTTAGGTCTAGTTTTACTGCATTTGCTCTAAACCAATGACCCGACACTGGCTACGCTTTCTGGAGGTGACCCTGAGGTTCTCCGTTAAGACGCCTGGTGAACCAGCTCAGCTCAAGGAGGCTGGTCCTGACGCTGGGCCGTGGCGGGGGCCGCAGCACTGGTGATGTCGGGGGAATCTCCGGCTGTCACAGCAGCACCTGCTCAGCACCTGCAGTGGCTCCCACAGCAATGAATTCTCCAGCCCATGACGTGGGCAGCGCCAGGCGGACCCCAGGAGCCCGGGGGTGGCAGTAGGACCTGGCGAGGAAACAAGCTGTGCCGGCCAGCGAGCATCCCCCCCCCCCGGTGGGGTCACTGGGTGGCTGCAGGGCTTGACCTCTGACCCGCCGACCAGCCCCACGGCTCTGTGCAAACGACCTTCCTCTGGAGGGCGGTGGGCGGTGTGGCCGGCGGACGTGCCTCTGGTGTCCTGACTCTCTGTTTGCGGGGGGTGGGGGTGGGGTGGGGGGGCACTCAAGCAGAAGGCTAGGCTCGGCTCGGCTGCCGGACAGCCCCGTCCTGCTGAACTGTGGCGAGTGGCTGCCGGCAGCGCCCACTGCTGTCCATTGTTTAGTTGCGGCCCTGCTGTCCTTCACCCGACGGCCTCCATTCAGAAAGACCTGGTCCTTCTGGCGCTGGCTTGTTCCCCTGAACACGGTAGGAGGTTCTCGCACCCACCACAGGGCCGAGGCCCACCCTGTGCCGACATCGCACCAAAGCCTCTTTCATCCGCTCCCAGCACAGGCCCGGCCTAGTGGGCGCTCACAGGCTGTGGACCGAGTGTCGCTCGCCCCGATGGCGGCTGCTCCCCGGGATGGCCGCTCTGAGCCACGTGTGGACGCTGCCTCCTCCTGGGAGTGGCTGCACGTGACGCGTGAGCTTCAGCAGTTCTGTGGGGTTGGCTCTGCGGCTGGGCTGGCAGGACTGTGCAGCCTGGGGCTCCAATCTGACTTGTGAGGGTGTCAGAGCCTGCCCCACGGGGACTGTCCTCTGGGGCCTTAGGTCTTCCTGGATCTTCTCTCTCAGTTAAGGACACGCGCTACCGCTGCCTGTAGAGCTGTTGTGGGTGGAGCCAGCTGCAGAGAGAACTCTGCCAGGGGCTGGGCTGCCCCAGGGGAGCTCGCTCTCTGAGTGAGCCCGCAGGGCACGGCTGCTCTGTGTGACCATATACCAGTGGGGTCAGTGGGTGCCAGGGCCGGCAGCAGGGTCCCGGCAGGAGGGTGACAAGAAAGGACGGTTTCAAGGGGAGCACAGTGCCCCACGTACCTTCGATGGGAAGCGTAGTTGCCGGTAATGTGCCCAGAGCCGTCGCAGCCAGGGGTGGGGCACCTATGATTAAACACACAAACAGGGCAATTTACTTGAAAGGAATGAAATCCCCTGGACAATAACTTTCTTATTTCTCCAGAAAGCGAGCTCCCTTAAGCGCACGCTCCCACGTGAGGAGGGCATGCGGCGCGGCTCCGGCTGCGTGGACACCAGCCTGGGCCGCCTCTTCCTTCCACCCCAGCGACACTCTCCAGGGGCCCTGGTGCCCAGCCCCTGCCTGGGACGCAGGCCTGGAGCGTGGCCCTTGGCTGCTGCAGCCTGTCCCCTGTCTCCAGGACCCGGCTGCCCCCTCCCTGGAGCCGCTGCAGGTGGGCACCACAGGCCTGGCAGCACCCCAGCACACACGTGAAGCAAGGCTCTCCCTCAGACATGTGTGCCCAGGGGTCTAAACTGCCAGGCCCAGGACACAATGCTCCACGCTCCTAACTGGTCAGCCGATGCCAGGGCGGCAGCAACCGGCCCTGGCCCTGGGGTGAGCTCCACCTATCGGCCCACTGGGCAGGCAGATCTACCTGAACGTCCTTGTTACTATTAGCTGACCGTGGAGCAGCCGGGCCAAGGCAGCTAAGACGCTTCGATCGGCTCCGGCACCTACTGCCTCTGCCTCACCTCCGAGCCAGGCCGTCCACTCTTCTCTCCCACACTGCCTTGCACTATGGGGGAGAGCGCTGATAACGTTTTAGCGATTCTCCTCCAAATCACTTCCTAAGTACGCCCTCTCAAGAATAACCAGACAGTTCTGCAAAGACAGTTTCCCTTTAAGCCATTTCAGTTGCATTTGTTCCTCCAGAAATGTAAAAACTGAGGACACAAATCACAGATTTTAAATCCTGAACAGATGCCCACTGCTTCTAAGGCAGCGGTTCTCAACCTTCCGGCCCTTTAAATGCAGTTCCTCATGTGGTGACCCAACCATAAAACTATGTTCATTGCTACTTCATGACTGTCATGTTGCTACTGTGATGAACCGTAATATAAATATCTGACATGCAGGATGGTTTTAGGCGACCCCTGTGAAAGGGTCGTTCAACCGCCAAAGGGGTCGCGGCCCACAGGTTGAGAACTGCTGTTCTAAGGGATCAGGTGTGCCTCCCACTCAGGGTGCCTCCCTGGACACGGGTGCTGGGACCAGTGCATGACCTGCTCACAGACGGACATCCTCGCAGCCAGACGAGCGTGGGGAGTGGAGGGGAGATACGTGAGCCTGGACTGCATTCAATGCCGGGAATGCCATCTTTTGCCAGTTGGATGTATCAACAATATTTGGTATTAGAAGCTGTCAACTTCTCCTTTAGCCCCAAGAGAGGAAACAAGTCTAGGTCTGAGGGTGTAGAAATTGGTAGCTGCCATATTGTCCTGAAGGTTCAAGCTTAAGCTATAGCGTGTGCTGTCGCAGAATTAAAGAGTGACAGCGTGAGGGGCGTAGAGAAGTTGCTGGTGGGCACGGGGGTGGGGGGTGGGGGGGTTGGGACCTTTAAAGTAGGAGAGTGAGAAGCAATGAGAGGTTAAAGCAGAATCAGGATCGAAACAGCGGAGATCTGATTGCCGACTCGACTGCTGTCCAGGTGGCAGCTGTTTCTGTCTGGTCACAAGACTGTTCTGTCAAGGCCAAGTGGTCACTGCCTGAGTGATGGCTGGACGCTGTGCTGTCCAGTGGCGCCTCCTGGACGGCGAGCCCAGAGCCCCGGGAGGGACACTGCAGCTCGAGGCTGTCCAACGGGAGCTGGTCCTCAGGAGTCTCCAGGGGAAACGCACAGGGAGCAGGGATCTTCCCACTGGCAATAACACACACTTGGCCTTGCTTTTTGCTTTAAAAAAAATCCTAAATTTTTCCTAACTTAAGAACTTAGTGAAAACTTATTTAAAATTTATTCATTTTCACACGAGTCGACATTGTTTCATATGCTGTTCTCTATGCGGCAGGAGAGTGACATTATTCTGTTCAAGTTTAAACTGAGGCATTACAACCAAAATCCTACACATGGAAGTCAGGTTTGACTAATTATAAAAAGGGTTTCAGAGTCATTTCTATGTGATTAAGCCATTTACAAATGCATCGTGTGATTTAACAAAGAGGCATTTAAAATGCCTTTATCACCATAAAAACAAAACACCGATTTGGCTCATTTTTGGAGCTTTCATTCCTAGAAAGAGGCCTTGCTTTCTGAAAAGGTCTGTTTCTATCTCCAGGGTCTCCAGTTCGGCAGCTGGCCTGCCCCCTGCTGGCTGTGGGGCTGCGGGAGGTTGGGGGGCGGAAGGAGGGGGGGAGGAGGGAGAAGGAGTGGGGGGGGGGGGGTTCAAGACTGTAAGGCTTTTGAAACTCAGAGCTACCTGTGAATTTCCTAGCTAAGAAACCTCAACATTCAAAATTCTGTTTTCTTCCCTCGGTGAATGAGGAAGTGACTGTCCATCTGACAAAAGGGGTGTTGGGTGCTCAGGCGCCCAGGGCCCCCGGTAACGGCTACAAAAGCCATGAGCAAACCCCTTCTGCACCCCCAGCCTCCCCCAGCCAGGCCCACGTCCCCTCCAGGAGGGGCGGCTGCTCGGGATCCGAATCCCGTGGACAGAACGCAGCAGCAGCACGCGCCGCTCGGCTTGGGTTCGAAATGGCAGAGGAGGCTGACTGGTTTCTATGGAAACTGCCTGCCGGGCAGGCACAGGTTCTCACACTGGCATGTCAGACGCCCGGGGAGGGCCCGCCATACAGCGCCCCCCTCGCTGCTGGGCGTTGCCACGACAATGGCATGAGTCTATTTTAAGCTCCTATATACAAGGGTGTGTTAAGTACAACGCCCGCTCCACGTGCTTCGTCTCTTCCACGCCACAGGCACCACTGGTCAAACCACTGAGGAAGCACACAGATGATCTGAGCATCCACCCCGCCCTCATGGAGAACTTCAAGACAAAAGCATGTCGGACCACGCCTGGTATGTGATGTGGCATTTGCCCCAGGGTTTCAGTAAAACGGAAAGAAAAGAATTTTGGGTACCATGTGTTATCATCTGGCTGGAAACACTGGTCTTGTATAGACATTTAAGAATGGGGATGGAAAAGTCATAATAAAAAAGTTTTAAATGTGTTTGAATTTTGCGGTATCTGGGCCAAATCTAAAAAGGAAAGGCAGGGCCACTCACAGCTTGGAGTTCTGGTGTCCTGAGCCAGCCCTCCTCCTGCTGCGGCGGCAGATCTGAGACGCCGGAGACCAGGCCCAAGCCTCTCAGGGTGCCGCCTGCTCACAGCTGCCTCTACACATTTGCCACCAAAACCCCGGTTCTCCTGGGACCCATCTAGGACCATCACTGATCACCCTGACACGGAGGTCGTGACACACACTCCTCACCGTCAGAGAAGAACCCACTACCTCTGCACCGAGCCACGACGCCCCGCCCGCAGCCTGCACACAGCGCCGCTGACACGGGGGCTTGCCTCTGGTGTCCTTCAGCGAGACTTGCAACCTACACTTGTGCTGCTTCTCCATCACAAGCCACAGCCCAGACACGGGGTGACAGCAATGCCAACAGTTAGCCCGCCCACTGAAATCGCATCACCGCCTAATTACCCGTGAGAACATCCAGGTGCCTCCTCCAGGGGGGTCAGCCCCGTGCCTCCAAGATCAACGTGAGGACGTGAGCCACAGCTGTGTTAGGTAAGAGGCTGGAGCACGAAGGGGAACGCCACGTCTCGCACACAGAGCCCGAGCACCGCCATGTGCTTGCAGGTCTGGGCTGGTCCGTCCGTGCAGCCGCCCAACCCACTGACCAGACCCCACAGGGACAACTGCACACCTGCCCTGACTCTGAGCACAGGGGCCGAAACATACAGGAAAACGGTCCCTCGATGCTTCCTGTTCCTTTCTTTCACGGCCACGCTAGTGAGGGAACTTAATAAGTAAAACACAAAAGATGAAAAAGTATCATTTTTTTTCTTCCTGTCCTCAAGTTTCAAATAAGTCATAAAAATGTAAAATTAAGCCTTGTTGATGGTAGCAAAATCCATTAGTGAATTGGAATGATTCAGGCTTCATATATAAAAGCCTTTGCCCAATTTATATAAAAAGTTCAATTCGAAAGCTTTTTTTTTTTTTTTTTTTTTTTGCCTAAAGAGATATAACTCTAGAATTGTATTTTTTAATTTTGATGTTTTTGGTCACATAATTAAGAAAAAAAATAAACACAGAGAAGTAAAAAATAAAAATACAGGGTGTTCCAAAAAATGTATACACACTTTAACAGCTGAGAGCTCAATTTTGAGAATATTGTGTACTTTAATTAAAAACTGCCTCCATAATTATTCAAAGTGTGTGCACACCTTTTTGTGGGACACCCTCACACCCCGATCTCCATGCGGCTCCTCCACAGCGCTCTCCCCGGAGAGAACGCAGGTCGCTCAGGCGCTAGTGCCTCACGTCTGCCCAGTTTCTTACACATATTCCCCGAGACTCAAGGAAAGACGAAGCCTTGGGGTTATGTTTCAACCTGTGAGACACTGAACTCTCTCTCCTTCTGGACCTCACTTTCCAGCCTGTGTGCTCTGTGTCCCTCCCACCTCCTCCTGCCTGAACTCGGGTGGGGCGGTGCCCCCTGGGCTGCGGTGCCCACGGCTCTGAAAACCACACACCAACTCGGACAGCACCCCTGTGCCCGCAGAGCCGGGGGGAGACTGCCCTTCGATTACGCAATGTGTGGACAAAACCCACCTTTCTCTTCTGGCTCTAAGTACTTTCTTTTAAAATTACACTAAAAACAAACACACACACGGAAAAGAATTCTAAAAGTACCTTCAGCATCAGTTAAACATGCCACGTGGTGACTCAGGGGACAGTGGAACAGGCTCAGGCTGCTCGAGCGGAAGGGTCATCGCGCGGAAGAAAGTCAGAGCTGTGGTTTGAGGGGCGCGGGGGCTGTGGCCGGGGCAGCAGGTGGCCAAGGGGCTTCGCAGTCGGCCCCTGCGGCCCCCTGCGGGCTGTGCGGGGTGAACCAGGGCAAGCGCACGTTCTGCGA